GGGTCTGGGAGGCCTCTTGGGGCCGTCTTGGGCACCACGGCTCAAAAAGAGGGGGGGGGAGAAATTCGCCCCCCCCCCCCCCCCCCTCGGAGGCTCTCAAACGGCATCTTGAGGCCCTGTTGGAGCGTTCTTGGGCGCCTCTTGGGCGATCTTGGGGCCGTCTTCGGCCTTCTTGGGTCCCTCTCGGGCCTCTTTTGGGCCATCTTGAGGCTTCCACAGCCCATCGGAAGCGAAAGGGCGATACTGCCAAACACATTGAATGTTCAAGGTTTTTGAACCGTTTTGGCATCTTGGAGGGTGCCGTGGAGGGTTCGAAGGGCACCTGGATCCGTCTTGGGGCTGTCTTTGGGCCTCTTGGGGGTATGTCGGAGGCTCTCTTGACCCATATTGAAGTAACATGGGCCATCTTGGAGGCCATATTGCGACTTCGAAGCCCTCTTGGAGCAATCTTGGGCCATCTTGGACGCTCTAACGCCTCGGTACCCCCACCTTCCTGGCCCAGGGGAGGGGGTAGGGGGTGGGGCTTCAGTGGAGGAGAAAAACATCGCGTCATACCACCTAAGCCCAGAGGGCTGGTGGGATTCGAAGGAGTCGAAACCAAAAACAAAACAAACAAAGGATTCGAAGGAGTCGAGATTGACATCGCGAAGCCAATGTACCGGGACAGTGTCGAAAACACAAGCGTCCGCGATCATGGCCTTTTGGACGCGCCGAGAAGCGGGCCATCTGCCCAGCAATCTCACGACAGCCGATGATTACGATACGCTCGGCGGGGCTCTTGCGATACCGCTCGACCCCACGGCGCGCATGCATATCGGCCGCTCTGTTGCCGAGCCACTGGTTGCGGGTCAGGCGGTTCTCGATCACGTCCGTCTCTGTACGTACGGTGGGACGGGGCCTTCCGCACCGTGCGCTCATCGAGCTTGTCGTGCACTTGGCCCATCAGTGAGCCCTCGCAGTGTCGGGGCCAGCGGCAAACCGGGGATCCCTAGCGCAATCCATCGTCCCAGCACGATCTGAATGGAGGCTGGGCCCTACTCTGTTACTCAGCTCGAGGACCTCTCGCCGTTCCTTGCGGCCTGGAGGGGTGCCTCCGAAATGGGCACCACCCCCCAGATCCACGACAGGACGGCTGTCTCAAAGTTTATACCCCTACGGTGCCACCGTAAGGGTATTGATTTTCCAGCCGCCCAGGGACAGGCGCCCCCGACAGCGAAAAAGTTTATTTTGTACCGTTCTTCGCCCGTTAAAACAGGCCAGTGGAAGCGATGCACCTGGCAGGAGGACGGGTCGGGCGACTTGTGCCTGGACCAGGCCGAGGTGTCGTGAAGGATCGCCCTGGACAGAAGGTCCTGGAAGCTGGACCGACCTGGGGGCCTCTTGGGCCGTCAGGAGATCATCGCGGTGGTCTCTTGCGCACTCTTGGGGCCATCTTGGTGACTTCTCGGGGCGTCTTGGGCCGTCGGAAAGTCCCAAATGAGCCAACGCCTAGATTTGTCAAAGACCATATGGACAATTATGATGTTGGACTATTCGGGCTGTCCTGGGGGTACTCTCGGAGGTCTCTTGGGCCGTCTTGACGGCATCTTGGGCAGTCTTGGGCGACCCTGAGGCCATCTTGGGGGCATCTCGGCCCGTCTTGGAGACAGTTTTAGGGCGTCTTCGGCCTTCTGGGGCCATCGCAGCCGTCCCAGGAACCAGCTCGGCCGTCCCGCGGGACATCTTGAGGCCGTCTGGAGCGGGAACACCAACGACCTTGGAATCGTCATGGTTCCTGCAAGGCGGAAAGCATGCTGTCGTTCGCTCCGCGTGCCGCGGAATTTAGGCCGTTGCTTGTAAGCCGCGTTACGGCGCCTGGCACCCCTGCGCGCTCGCGAACAAAACATGTGAGGCGGAAAGCCGACGAGCGCATTCTCTTCAGCATTGGCCGGCGCAGCAGGCCGAGACCCTACGATTTGGAGCCTTTTCGAACGGGCCAGAGCCAACCTGTTTGGCACGCCGTGCATCCTTGTGGCAAGCGCAGGGGGGGCCTTGGATCCAGTGGCCTTCAGCCCATCACGCCACCGCGCCGTGGCTGTAAGTTTGATGCCACTTGGCCCGTCATTTGGCGCTTCTGGGTCCGAAGACGTCATTCGGGAAGACGCGCCTGGGGCGCCGGGAGCCCCAGGGCATTTGAGAATTCGGGGTGCCCGGATTGAGGACTGAGGCCCAGGGGATTTTGGAAGGGACCTGGACGCACTTCAATTCGAGTTTATGTTTGTTTGTATGCATGCAGGTATGTATGCATGGATGTATGTATGCATGAGTACATGCATGTAAGTATGCATGTATGCATGCATGCACACATGCGTGTATGTATGTATAAGTGTGTGTATGTAGACATGCACGCATGCATGAATGTAGGTACGCATGCATGCTTATCTGCATGTATGGGTGTATATATGTAGGTGTATACGTACGTATGTTTGTACGCATGCATGCATGAATGCATGTGTGCATGTATGCATGCATGAGTGTATGCAGGTGCCAATGTGTATGCATGTATGCATGTATGTGTGGTTGTATATTCATGCGTATGTAAGCTATGCGTGTGTGTATGTATGCATTGCTATATACATATACACATGCGTGTACCTATATGTATGTATGCGTGTACGTACGTATGCATGTATGGCGGAAAACCGGGGGGGGTCACTACCGGTTCGAACCCCTCCCCCCCCCCCCCCCCCCCCCCTCCCAGGGGGGGGGGTCACTACCGGTTCCGGATCCGGAAAACCGGGGGGGGTCACTACCGGTTCGAACCCCCCCCCCTCGAAAACCGAGTGGGGGTGCGGACAGTGGTGGGGACGGTGTTGGTGGGGACAGTGGTGAGGGGATAGCGGGACAGTGGTGGGGACAGTGGGACAGTGGGACAGTGGTGGGGACGGTAGTGGTGGGGACAGTGGTGGGGACAATGGTGGGAACAGGGGGGGACAGTGGACAGTGGTGGTGACGGTGACAGTGGTGGGGACAGGTGGTGTGGGGGACAATGGGAACAGGTGGAAACAGTGGGACAGTGGAGGGTACACAGTGGTGGTGGTGGTGGACAGTGGTGAAGGACGGTGGGGACGAGGACGGCGGTGGGACAATGGGACAATGGGGAGGTGCAGTGGGGACAGTGGTGGGGACAGTGGGGACAGTGGTGGGAACAGTGGGACAGCTCAGTGGGACAGCGGAGGAGTCAGTGGGACAGTGGGGACAGTGGGGATAGTCGGGCAGTGGTTGGGGCCGTGGAGACAGTGGGGAGAGTGGAACCGTGGTGGGAACAGTTCTGGGGACAGCGGGGACAGTGCGACAGTGGTGGGGCCACTGGTGGGGACAGTAGGGGCGGTGGTGGAACCAGTGGGGACAGCGGTGGTGAGGACAGTGGTGCTGGGAACACCAGTGGGGGATGTGATGCGGACGGTGGTGGGGACCGGGAGTCGTTTGCTGGCGGTGTAGGGGGGGGGGGGGGGAGGGGGGGGGAGGGGTTCGAACCGGTAGTGACCCCCCCGGTTTTCCGGATCGGGGGGGGGAGGGGGGGGGGAGGGGTTCGAACCGGTAGTGACCCTTCCGGTTTTCCGGGAGGGGGGGGGGGGGGGGGGGGGGGGGGAGGGGGGGAGGGGGGGTTTTGCCGGGGGAGGGGGGGGGGGGGAGAGGGGTTTCCAGCAGGGGGGGGGGGATTTTCGGAGGGGGGGGGGGGGCGACCCCCGGGTTCCGGAGGAAAAGGTTGGCAATTTTCCACAGTAAAGCGGCGGTGGATCACGCTCTCTCGTATGTATGTGCATATGCGTGTGCGAGTGCATACATCCATAGATGCACAGACGTGTGCCTACATGCCTCATGTGTGTATATATATATATATGCATGTTTAAATACACCCATCAATCAATACACCTGTGCACATCGACCCCCCGACCTCCCCTTCGTTAGGGGTTGGGGTTCGGCAGCCTCCCTCTGCCCAGGAACCTGCGGAGCCGCCACCTGGGGCGGACCTGGAGCCCACGCCCCGAACCCTATACGGCAGCCCCCTGGGCCCCAGGCCCCGAGCCCCTCCTCCGAAGAGAGACTTGGCATCGCTCGGACGTGTGCATTTTTTCGGCGAGGACCATCGAGGACCATTCTGGACCATCGAGCAACAAAACACACACACACACACGAAACCGGAACATGCATGGGAAATGGACGTCCGAGCGACGGCAAGGAGAGGGGAGCAGGAGTCGGGGGCGGCAAAGAGGGGGGTGATGGCTGGGGGGGGATATCATGGCGGGGGCCATGAGATTTCCCCAGATATCATGGTGCCTCTTCTTGTTTCACTGCGTCCCTGGCCCCCCCGCTGTGCCGCCAGTCATGGTTTGCACCCCCCCGTCTTTGACGCCCCCTTCTTGGCCGCCCCCGAGATCTTCTGACCGGGGTCGATCCAGGCCGGGGTCAGTCAGGCTTTTTGCTGGATCTCGCAAGATCCTGCAGGGCCCTGCGCCAGAACCTGGGTCACTGCAGCCCTGGCCCTGTAGGATCCTGCGAGATCCAGCGCTCTGACGGAGTTCTCTTGCAGTGACCCCCGTCTCAGGGCTCTCGAGCCCTTGGAGAACGGCCAGCGTGACCAGAACGGGGGACTGGTTTGCGGGGGTTGGCAGAAGCAGAACGTTTGCTCGGAGCGGGCCACGCGTCGCAGGAAGAGAAGGGGCGGTCCGGGGAGCAGCAAAAGCGCACTGCGGACCAGATCGGACGATCGACTCCAGGGGGGCACCTCGGCCCCGATGGCGCGTTCTTTGCCACTTGTGGCGTTGATCCTCACCCCTGCCCTCGGAGCGTGCGGGGTCGTCATCGGGAGCGCATCGCCCGCGATGCAGCGCCTGTTCAAGATCGATGCTTCCACGCGAGCCATTAACCCCCCTGTCGTGCCCTCCCGCATGCGTGCAGATGAGACTCCCCGTGTGCACGGTAGAATCTTGAAGTGCCGGGGTTGGTGGCGGAATCAGGTACTTCCTGTTCGTCTGCACGAAGCTTGAGGAGACCTGTGTAACCGAGCTGGCCTTGCCTGCATGCCCACACGATTGCTCTCTGCTTCGCTTCTCCTGGTGTCTGCTGTCGCTGCGTGCTACCCGCTCTCATCTTGAGATTCCTGGGCCCTCATCCTCCAGGCAGAAGGCACCGCGCACACTGAGCTACCCTTTAGGGTATGTCAGCAGCCAGCAGGGACATCATGCATTTTTGGAGGTGCCGCGCTCTGGCAGCAATCCCGCACGCAGCTTTGTCACGATTGCCGAATTCGTGGCCCTTTTGCACAACAACACTCAGGAGGGGAAGAAACACACAGATACAATAAATCGTCGACTCCCAGGAAAATATGGGAAACTATGGGAAGTGGTGGAGAAGACAAAAACCCAGAACACATGGGAAAATATGGGGAATCCTTTTATTGAATCGCTTCGCTCATTCCGCCGGCCCGTATTGTGCCATCGCAGGCGTTTGCTTGCGCGTTCGTGGCCTCTTGGAGCCTCGGTGGGGCCGTTTGGGGCCTCTTGGCGCCTCTTTTTAGGCCTCTTGGAGAACTCGGGAGGCCTCCAGGGGGCCTCCTGAGCTCTCGTGACGGTCTCTTGGGGGGCTTTCGGCGGGCTCTTGGCGGTATTTGTTGGTCCTCTTGGGGCCTGGGGCCTGACGTTGTTGGTCCTCTTGGGGCCTCACGGGAGCTTATTGGGGCGTCTTGGGGGTGTCTTGGAGAGTCTCTTGGGGCCTCTTTCGGGGTCCTGGGCGCCTTCTGGGGCGGAGGGCTCGATTTTTCAGTTCTCGGTTCCCTTCTTGAGCCCCTCTTGGGCCCGTCTTGGGGCCTCTTGGTCCGCCTTGGGCAGCACTTGGGCCGTCTGGGGGGCGCTCTTGGGCCGCTCCGGGGCCGTCTTGGGAGCCTCGTGGGCCGTCTTGGAGCAGTCTTGAAGGCCTCTTGGGCCCTCTTGGAGCGTCCGGAAGCGAAAAGGCCAGAACGCAAAAAACATAGAAAAAACCAATGAAAATCAACGATTTTGGCAACTTGGGGCCCTCTTCGGAGGCCTCTTGGAAGGCCCTTGGAGCGTCTTGGAGGCCTCTTGGGCTGTCTTGGGGCCATCTGGGGCGTCTTCGGGCGATCTTTGGCCGTCTCGGGCCTCTCTTGGACCGTCTAGAAAGCTTCTCGGGGCCCTCTTGGACCGATCTGGAGCCCTCTTGGACTCCGAAACAGAACTCCGGCATCTCTGACCCGACCCTTTTATTTGTGTGTGTTTATTTGTGTGTCCCAGGGCCCCTTCAAACACCTTCTGCTCAGGGTGTGATCCCTGCCTCTTGAGGGCGTGGGCAAGAAGCCGAAACTACCACAACTGGGGTCTCACGTTGCGGTGCGCAGACGAGAGCCCCTCGATCTCGCCTTCTGGCCCGTGCTGCCGCCGAGTGTGGAACCCCTGTTGAGTCGCCGTGGCTGCCGCTTGTCCATGCTCTTCGGCCGTGGCGTCCTGCTGCTTCGCTTGTGGGAATGGAGTGGTGGTGAATGCATGGGGGACTCGTCGTTCCCGCCAGTGGCGTCTCGTGGCGCCTGGCGCAGATGCGACTCGGATTCGTTTCTCCTTCGGCGCGCAGTCGGCGCGGACTCGGCGCCGATAGTGGCGCGCCGGGACGGACAACATCTCCCAAATATTCAGCGGCAATTATCGGGAGACGCTTCATGGGGGGGGACTTCCATGGGGGGATAGGATCCCAGGGGGGGGGGATCCCATAGGATCCCCTGGGGATCCCCTGGGGGGGGGCAGGAGGGGATCCCATGGGGGGGGGATCCCCTCCTGCCCCCCCATGGGATCCCCCCCCATGGAGAGTCTCCCGAAATTACGGCCCGTACCCTTGCCTGCACCTGTCTTGGCATATCCGACGCTTCCTTGCGCTCGTGCATGGCGTTGGGGAGCGTCTGCCCCCAGCGGCCGGGCGGAGAGCCGCCTGCCCAGAGGAGATGGCGCCCGACATGTACTCCGCGAAGTTCAGCGAGGCCAAGGTGTGTCAGGAGGGAAAGAAACACACAGACACAATTAATCCTCGATCCCCCAGAAAAGATTGGAAAATACGGGAACTGGGGGGAAAGACAGAAACCCAGAACATATAGGAAAATACAGGGAATCTTTTTATTTGTGTGTATTTATGTGTGTGTCCTGGGGCCCCTTCGGTGTGGTGGGTCTGCATACAGTTGGCCCTGGTCAGTAGGGCGGCCCTGCCATGTCATGGGTCCCCCCTGCGTCCTGTGTCTCGCATCACATGCCTCCTGCAGTTCTGTGGCAGCGTGTCCCTCGGCGGAGTCCTTGTGTCCTCTCGCGTGTCCTGTCCAACCAGGTCCGACTGTACTGCAGCAACGCTTACTCTTAGTTGTGCAGGGCCTTCGAATTCCGCGTGTTCAATCCTGCGGCGTGACCGAAGTTCAACCAGGGTATTGTTCGACAACCTCTGGCGGACAGACGATGTTTGCAATGCCGTGGGGAGGGGGAGGAGGAGGAGGAGGAGGAGGAGGAGGAGGAGGAGGAGGAGGAGGAGGAGGAGGAAGAGGAGGAGGAGGAGGAGGAGAGGAGGAGCAGGAGGAGGAGCAGGAGGAGGAGCAGGAGGAGGAGCAGGAGCAGGAGGAGGAGGAGGAGGAGGAGGAGGGAACTGGAGGGGG